GTCTTCCACCTGCCAGTGCCAATGAGTGCTCTGCTCAGCTTTCCCAAAGCCTCAGGGAAGGAAGGGGAGTCTTGTCTCCCCACAGCACTTGGTTGTGGGGTTTGGTTGGCTCTGACTGAGGTTCTAGCCTTAGTTCTGTCTCGGACTCACTGTGAAGTCTCAAGCAAGTTCTTTCTGTTTCATCATGTGTAAGACGGGAATAACGATCATAGCCATCTTGATGAGCGGTGAGGATTTGAGGAGCCTGTCTGTGAAATCTGGGCACTACTGTTCTGTGACTGTGACATGGGTTTTGCTGCGCGTGGGCTGCTCCCAGCTGCAGAAACATTTCCTACCACAGTTTTCATGCCTTCTGGAGCCGACGCCCCTCTGATTGAAGCCAAGGCCCCCATAGGGAAGGGATGCCATCACCCAGGATAGAGCATGAAACTGCAACCTCCCAGTAGAAGGGCCTGGCTCTCATTCACCCTGTGGCCTGCCTCTTCAGAGTGGGGGCTCATCAGGCCCCAGGAGGGTAAAGGGAAGGCAACTAACGTTAGGTAGCATTTTTCTTTTTTTTTCTTTTTCTTTCTTTCTTTTTTTTTTTTTTTTGAGACAGAGTCTCACTTTGTTACCCAGTGTTGAGTGCAGTGGCCTGATCTCCACTCACTGCAACCTCTGTCTGTTGGGTTCAAGTGATTCTCATGCCTCAGCCTCCCAAGTAGCTGGAATTACAGGCGCCCACCACCACACTCCGCTAATTTTTGTATTTTTAGTAAAGATGGGGTTTCACGGTGTTGGTCAGGCTTGTCTTGAACTCCGACCTCAGGTGATCCGCCCACCTCGGCCTCCCAAAGTGCCAGGATTGCAGGCATGAGCCACCACGTCCAGCCACATTATATAGCATTTATCCTTATAATCTCCAGAGCCATTATTCCCATTCTGAGTTCTTTTTTCCGAATATGATTAAGTGATTTTATTTAGTCTGAATTTCCAAAGTCAGTGAAAATGTACAGTCATTGTAATGGTATGATCAATGATAGAATCACTCAATAACCTTTATCAAAACAAAAACTAAAAAAAAAAAAAGCAGGATTGGAAGAATATTAAAACATCAAAATATTTTTAAAACAGAAGAAAACCCAGGAAATTAAAAGTATTTATGCAAAGTCTAAGGACATACTTTAGAAATTTCACTTGACATGATGTTCAATGATAAATGACAAACATTTTATGAGTCAGTGTGATTGAGATTGCCCTACAGGTATCATGAGCTATTCCTTTATAAAAAAATTTATCTAAATGATCTTTCCCAGAACTTCCTGTGATGGCTAGAAAAAGAAACTGAGGCTGGGTGTGGTGGCTCACGCCTATAATCCCAGCAGTTTGGGAGGCCAAGGCAGGTGGATCACTTGAGGTCAGAAGTTCGAGACTAGCCTGGCCGATACGGTGAAATCTCATCTCTACTAAAAATACAAAAGTTAGCTGGGCGTGGTGGCATGCGCCTGTAATCCCAGCTACTTGGGAGGTTGAGGCAGGAGAATTGCTTGAACCTGGGAGGCAGAGGTTGTAGTAAGCTGAGATCACGCCACTGCACTCCAGCCTGGGCAACAGAGACTCCATCTCAAAAAAAAAAAAAAAAAAAGAAAAGGAATAAAAAAACCAGGAATACAAACCAAAAGCAGAATTTTCACTTCACGCTAACTAAGTGACAACTTTCCCAGGTCAAGGTTAAAGGCTTAGACATCTTCATTTATTTTATCATGGTTAGATTGGTGCTTTCCCTGTAATCTCTCAAGTTTTTGAAAGGACTAACATTTGAATATCATTCTGTTTTTATAATCTCCATAGCCATTATGGCTACCATTTTAAGTAAATCTGTATTCTAAAAATTAGGATGCCAAAGCTTAAAGAGGTGAAGTAATGTGCTCAAGGTCATTTGGTCAGTGGAGAGAGGATCCTGGAAGGAAACTCAGTTCTGTACATTCCCAAATCCCATCCTCTTTCCAAAGCTGCCCAGAGCAGGGGATGCTGGAGGTATTTGCCTGCAGTCTGATTTTGTTCAGGGCTGGCTGTGGTCCAGGCCTCCGCGTTTACTTAAATGTTCTGAGAGTTATTGGGGGAAATGGAGCTTTGAACTTACCTAGTATAACACAGGCTGGTTCTCAGGATCATAAACATGTTTCTGAACCTAATTAAAGAGCCTTGTGAAAAGGGCGAGAGCAGGACTGAGACATGACGGTCAGTCTCAAAACTCCCTGTGGGCCTGAACGGGAGCTTGGCTTTTCCCAGACTCAGGGAGAACCAGCCCTCTCTGGGGGCAGAGAGTTAAGAGGCTTTCGAAAGAAGAAAAGGCTCTTTTACAGTCCTGGCTGGGGACCTGGGCTGTACCGGGGAGGGAATGTAGGAGGCATAATTGGGGCTTGTAAAACATTTCCAGACAAAATCACTTAATGTGTTTTGGAGAGTAAAAAGCAACAGTCCACATAATCTATAAATTTAGGCGGTTTTCTTCAGAGTCAATAGAGCCGGGTCGGGGGATCAGAAGGGGTGGCTGGGTAGTGCTAAATGTGCTATGGATGGCTGCAGGTGAACTTGTCTCTGGGCACGAGACCCAGGAGCAGCCAGACCCTTGGGTCTGAATTCTTGCTCTACCTCTCACTCGAGCTGTGACCTTGGACAAGTTATTGATCCTGCTAGATTTCAGTTTCCTCCTGTGGGAAGTGGAGATAAAATAGTCGCCACCTTATGGGTTGGTTTGGGGAATTAATGTGCTACCATATCCAAAATGCATGGAACAGTGCCTGGCATGCAAGGCGTGCTTGTATAAATGTTGCTGTTTTTATTCTGCTCCCTTGGGAAGGGGCTACTACTTGGTTGAGGCCATGCTGCATTTCCTACGAAGCAGTCCATACCTTTGAAAGTTCTGGAGCCCTCATTATGTCTTTCTTAATTCTTTCTCCCAAGCTTTCACTGACTTCCTTTCTGCCAGCAATGGTTACTCCCATCCATTTCCAACAGCCTCCAAAACAATATACTTCTTCCATCCATCCCTTTCCTCATCAAAAAGCTTTGTTATCATGTCTCTGTCTCATTCTCAGCAAACTAACCCCAAGAACCGAAAATCAAACACCGCACGTTCCCACTCATAAGTGGGAGTTGAACAATGAGAACACATGGACACGGGGAGTGGCGAGCATTACACACCGGGGCCTGCCGGGGGCTGGGGAGCTGGAGGTCTAGGAGAGGGATAGCATCAGGAGAAATACCTAATGTAGATGACAAGTTGATGGGTGCGGCAAACCACCACAGCTCATGTATACCTATGTAACAAACCTGCACGTTCTGTACATGTACCCCAGAACTTAAAGTACAAGAATAATAATAAAGTTTTGTTAATGGCCCATCTGACTCACTATAAAGCTCAAACTTCTGGGCCTTTTCAACCCAGTTTAACTCTCTGGGCTGCGTCCAACCACGTCCCCTTGTAGCTGCCTGTGTGCCTAATGTCTCCATTTTCCCCTCCTTCCAGGCAAATGGTAAATTTTGCACTTTGTGACTCCCTGATGGTTGGCTGGGGGCCGAAAACTAGTTTTGGCCAATGAATTGTGAGTAGAGGTAATATGTGAGCTGGAGCTCGTCATCCCTGTGCCATGACAACTGGGACCATGGTCTAGACCAGGTGTCAACAAACTTTTCCTGTGAATATGTTCTGCTTTGTGGGCCAAATGATCTCCATTGTAGCTTCTTAGCTCTGCTGCTTCGTGTGAAAGTAATCCTAGATAATATGCAAATGGAACAGCGTGGCTATGTTCCAATAACGTTTTATTTTAAAAAGCCAGTCTGGCCAGTAGAGCTTTCTGCAATGCTGGAAATGTTCTATAATATTCCTCTTGTCAAACATGGTAGTCACTGGCCATATGTATCCATTAAATATTTCAGTAGCCTCATGTGGTGTAGCTACCATATTGGATGGACAGAGTAGATAGCTGTTTCATCAGACAGGGTCCTGGAGCAAAGACAACATGGGAGTCACTGCTGACCATGATAGGCATGCATCCTGTCTAGTTCTTGATGTTATAAGCAACTGAGATGGGAGATGTTTGTTACTGCAGCATAACCTAACCACTCCTGACTTACACACCCCTCACTCCCACCTCCATATTTCCTTTGCTTTCATCTAAGCATTTCATGCATGTCCAGGCATCCAGGGCTTTACTCATACTGTTTCCTCTGCCTGGAATACCTTCTACTGTCCTTTATTTCATGGGTAAATGCTGCCTCATTGCTTAAAGTTCAGCTCACATGTTACCTTCTCCTGGTAGGTTTCCAGTAGCCCTCCATATTGCCTCTGTGCAATAAGAATTACCTGCAGCTTCCTCAGGACACTTTGTAAGTAGAACGTTGTAGTGTAAGAATTTGCTTTCTTATGTTTTCCACTAGATTGTGATCTCTTGGAGGAGTTGCTCTCAGATTATACTTCAATATCTCCTGGGATATTGCAATAAGTGTTTGTTGAACTGATTTAACATACTCCAAACTCAGGCTGTGGTGGCCTCTCAGGGTCCTTAGTGGCCTCCTTGGCCCTGGGTTCAACTTGGACCATTTCCTCCCATTTTCATCTTATTCTCCTGGCCACAGTGATGCACAGTCTCTGAAATTCAGACAATGGTGATGGCGGAGGATGAGGAGAAAGGGGGAAAAAAAGAGACACCATATTAGTCTTATTACATACCAATATAAAAATATCAATTTGATCACGATTTCCTTAAAAGGGACACTACAGTAAAGAACAATTGTGACTTGAAACACAATTGTAGCTCTGCTAATGGTTTCCAGAGCTGTTCATAGGCTCTTGGAGTTAGTGCATCACTAAACTGGTATGTGTTTAGGAGTCTATATAGTTCAAGACCTTACTCTAAAGATTTCTTGTCAACAGGGTATAGCTTGTCAAAATACTATTTTATTCATTCCATCATTTCCATTCTATCTAACAAAAGACATTAGTATTTCAGTTTTCTGTACAAATATGGAAACATCATCATCAATACCCCTTACATATATGCATCACTTTGTGGTTAACAAAACACTTTCTATGTCACCTAGAGCCTATGAATAGCCTGGGAAGAAGGCAGGGCACATTTACAGCATTTGACTCTTGGAGAAACTAGAGCCCAGTGCAGGGAGGTGATCCACCCACTGGTAAGTTTGGATGTTTGACCTCTCCAAATCTCACGCTGACATTTGATTCCCAGTTTTCGCAGGGGGCCTGGTGGGAGGTGTTTGGGTCTTGAGGGTGGGTCCCTTGTGGATGGCGTGGTACCTTCATCGTGGTAATGAGTGAGTTCTCACTCAGTTCATTTCCCTGAGAACTGATTGTTGAAAAGACAGTCTGGCACCTCCTCCTCTCTCACTCTTTTCCTTCCCGTCTTGCCATGGGATGCCTGCCCCCCTCTACCTTCTGCCATGAGTAGAAGCTTCTTGAGGCCTTCATCAGAAACAGATGCCAAGCTTCTTGTACAGCTTCTAGAACCAGGAGCCAAATATATCTCTTTTCTTTACAAATTACCCAGCCTTGGGTGTTTCTTTATAGAGATATAAATGGACTAAAACACCTCAAATCACAAGCAAGCTAGAGCCTGAGTGGGTATTTGACCCTGGTCCCCAAGCTCATAGGCCAGGGCTCTGGGCCTCCAGATGTATCCCATATCCTACTCCAACTGCCCTTCTGACCACGCCCTGCCCATCAGCACAGACTTCATCCCAGGGCACGGCGGTTGGGGCAGATCTCTAGAGTTTTTGCCTAATCCTAAAGTCATAAGAATTCTGTATCCTTTCCCTCTTGGAAACCTCCAGTCACAGAAATTTAGAGCAGATGGAAGTTTTTCTAATTACTTTTCAAAAAACAAGGCCTAGTCCAATAGCAGTCCAATACATAGAAATAGTCAAATTATTTAAAATGCATTTGTAATTCTTTGATAGTTCTTGCAAAAAGAATAATAGACCTAGACTTCCTTCAGTACCAGGAAAAAGGACATGATGTATACAATTTCTGCCTGTGAAAGGGGTTGTTCTTACCCTCGGTTAAGTTTTAGTCTACCTAAAGGAACAGTAACAAAACAAAATGGTTGCTGCAGATTCTCTCTAAGCTACATTGTACCCCTTCCATGAGGGTGACTGACCTGGTGTGAGGGTCTGACCTTGTGGATCCCCCTTCTCAGCTTGCAGTCTTTCCCACCCCTCTTCACCCTCACTTTTGTTCTCCAGGCCCAGCACTCCATGGCCCGATAAGAAGCAGAAAGAAATGGCCAATGGCACCATCACACAAAGATGGGCTGCAATAACATTTCGTTTTGGAGACTAAAAAATCCAAAATGGCAGGAGAGGCAAAATGTTAAATTTCTCTTAGTGTTAGTGTGCGAATTATGAAATGCCTTCATTCACTTATGGTTAATTGACCTCCTGAAATGTCTGTTGTAACTGTACTGTCCAAATAGATGTACCAAAGATAGAAGAAACCCATACATAAACCATAAGCAAGTGAAAATATTAAGTATAGGTGGAGTGACGTAAAACATGTACTTTATAAATTAGTGTAATATTAATGGGAGAATAGAGTGATTAGATACACTTCATATGCTGCATAAAGATACATGTTTCAAAAGGAATAAAAATATGTATTTATAAAGATGTTTCTGAAAGTGTTTCCACAGGAGCAAAAAGCTGGAAATGATTGATGTGGGCTGTAATTGGAGAAACACTCAGTAAGTTATAGCATACTGTAGCCATTAAAAAGAATAATTATGAGGACTTTTCAGACCATAATCTTCAGACCAAAAATGTTAATGACAGAGGTAAGTGCAAACAGTAGAATTCAAATTGGAACATATGCTGTGATTGAATTTAGGAAAAATCTTGTCTCTGTATGATCTAGGAGCAGAAGCGAAAATGTTAAAAAGAAAATAGCATTTTAGAATGTGGTTGGAGGGACAAAGTAAATATATATTTATATTTATATTTATAATCTGGTTTCTTGAGATTACTTGTCAATGTAACCCAAAACAAGAAACTACTTTTATTATCTACACTATGATCTTTGAATTAAATTATTTGGATATGATGTGTTAGATCTGATTCCTTAGGGTTTAATTAAAGTAAAATGTATTAGCAAAAGAAAAAGGATGAAGACACTTATACATAAGAACAGAGAATAACATAAACAAATATCTGACCACTAACTATCAAATCTGAGTATTTTGCTACACTGGCTTTATATTTTAAAAAGAAGTAGAACATTATAGATGTGACTAAAGTCCCTTGGCTAAAAAGAAAAGAGGAGTTTTGTGTTGATTTAATACCTTAGTTATTTTTGCTACATCACCTTTTATTATTAATAATTTTCAGGAGGTCAGAGGATGCACGTTTTAAAAAGGTTCTGGCTTCTCAATTCAGATTATGGCTACCAGATGATGGCTCTTGGATTAATACCTGCCCCCTGTGTCTTTCATGGCGGAGTCCTTGGCCAGTGACTGATCAGTAATAATGGGTGAGGAGAAGGAGGGTGAGGGCTCCCACAGGCGCTGTTCCTCAGACCTCACACAGAAGTCAGCCTGCTCCCTGATCCAGCAGGAAGAAGAATTCTAGTACTTCTCTGAACATCACCCCCAATGCCCCATTGGAATCTGCTCTAAGAAGGGATCCTGGAAGAGAATACCCGTTTGCTTCTTCAGGGGCAGGTCATTTCTCTCCCTGAGTCCCAGCCCAGCTCACCTTATACCTCTCCCTGCTCCATGGCGCCTCTCCTAAGGCTGAAGCCTGGGAGGCCAGTCCTCATGATGCCTCTCTATCGAAAGTACAGGTTCCTCTGGGATTCAGAAAAGCCACCAAATGAATGGAGACTTCCCTGTCTCCAATGCCAACCAGAACTTGTCCACCAGGTAAGATTCTGTGGGTCGGGAGACAGACTGCTAAGCTCCAGCTTCACACCAGAGAGGCCATTGTATAGGTGGGTATTGGACAGAGAACAGAGAACCCTGTAGTTTCCATCTGATCCAGTTATCAATTGTTGCATAACCAACGACCCCAAAACTTAGTGGCTTAAAACAACACAATCATTAATTTTGCTCATAAGTTGATCATTTGGATGGTGCTCAGTGGGGACAGTTCATCTTTGTGCCATAGGGCATCAGCTAGATCTGCTTACCTGAAACATGCCCTTAAGATTCTTAGAGGACCTTGGGAGGCCGAGGCGGGCGGATCACGAGGTCAGGAGATCGAGACCATCCTGGCTAACATGGTGAAACCCCGTCTCTACTAAAAATACAAAAACTTAGCCAGGCGTGGTGGCGGACGCCTGTGGTTCCAGTAGCGGGCATCTGTTGTCCCCGCTACTCAGGAGACTGAGGCAGGAGAATGGCGTGAACCCGGGAGGCGGAGCTTGCAGTGAGCTGAGATCGCTCTACTGCACTCCAGCCTGGGTGACAGAACGAAACTGTCTCAAAAAAAAAAAAAAAAAAAAAAAACACAAAGATTCTTAGAGGACCTTTTGTCTGTCTGAGAGATTCTAAGAGGCACTCATATTGGATTTTTATTTGGCCAGAGTTCCTTTCTTACTTTGAGAATTGTTTATATCTGGAAAGACTTGGGAATGAAAACAATTGACTTTACTTTTAATTTTTTATTAAGAGATAAGGTCTTGCTCTGTTACCCACACTGGAATACAGTCACATGACCATAGCTCATTGCAGTCTTGAACTCCTGGGCTCAAATGATCCTCCTGCCTCAGCCTCCCAAGTAGCTGGGACTATAAGTGTCAGCTGCTATGCCTAGCTATTTTTTCACTTTGTTTGGAGTTGGGGTCTTGCTATGTTGCCCAGGCTAGAACATTTAATTTTTGAGCCCAGCTGTTCTGGATTCTTGAGCTCATCTTTCTCCTCTCACATTTTATCACAGGTGGTAAGAAGAAGTCAGGTGGCACTTTCAAGATCTACCTGGAAATCTTAGCTAGATCATCAAGATTATTAGATACCTTCGTGTTTTCCATGTTACTGCAGGGTACAGTGTTGCTAAACTTTCTGCCACTACATGGCAAGAATCCCCTTGACTTTAAGATTTCTATAATATTTCCAAGATTTTCCTGAATGCCCTCATTGACAACCTTCTCAAGGCCCTTAAGGTTTTCACTAACATTTCCACCATTTTCTTTGTGGCTCTTGGGCTGTGTGGTCCCAAAGCCAATGTCATACATTGTAGGACTGTATTATGACACACCTGACTTCAGGTGCATATATCTGTTGTTGCATAACAGTTACCTGTTGCTGCATAACAGTCCAACCCAAAACTTGGTAGCTTAAAACAACAATGATTGGTAATTTGACTCATCTGTCTGTATTTTGGACAGGTTTCAGCAGGGTCAGCTCATTTTTTTTTATGTATAACTTAAACTGGGGTGGCTCAACTGGGGCTGGAGCATCCCGGAGAGGGCTCATATACACGCTAACATTTTGGTGCTGATGGTTCCTTCCTCTCTACATAGGCCTGTCCATGGGGCAGACTGGGCTTCCTCACTGCAAGGAGGCTGGGTTTAAAGAACAAGCATCCCATGAGACTACAACTGGAAGCTACTGGTTTCTATTGGTCAAGTAGTCACAGAGTGAGACTCAGGAGTAGAAACATAGGTCCAGTGTCACATTTGAAGAAGAACGTGTGGGATGGAATGTATTGGGATCAACTTGGAAAAATACAATCGGCCACAAAATTCTTGCTCTTAGAGGTTTAGACTGCTGGTTAAAGCCACTTGGGACCAGGCACAGTGGCTCACACCTGTAGTGTCAGCCCTCTGGGAGGCCAAGGTGAGCGGATGGCTTGAGTCTAGGAATTTGAGACCAGCAGGGGCAACATGGAAAAACCTCGTCTGTACAAAAAAATACAAAAAATTAGCTGGGCACGGTGGTATGTGCTCATAGTCCCAGCTACTTGGGGGTCTGAGGCAGGAGGATTGCTTGAGTCTGGGAGGTCGAGGCTACAGTGAACCCTGATAGTGCACTGGGCAACAGAATTAGACCCTGTCTCGGAAAAAAAAAAAAAAAAAAAAAAAAAAAAAAGCCACTCAGGGCTGTAACTATCAATTCCCAACATAATCTATGTTCACGATTCCCAAATGTTTTTATGACCCAGAAACAAAGCTGACTCAACCCAGTATAGGTTTCTGAGGATTCATATGGCCGTAGAGCTGATTGGCAATAGGCAATAGTTATATAAAAAATTCATTCTGGACAGGCTGAATTAGCTTCCTTTAAACCCTACAAATACATTATGTTACCTTCAGGCCTTTCTCCCTGTGTGAGGTTGGACCCTTTAACTGGAACGCTCCCCACCTTTTGCCCACTTCCACTCATTGCTTATCTTCTAACTCCCTCTGCCACTCAGCTCCTGCTCTGCTTGCCAGTCATGTCTCACCACATCACTTCCAGCTTGATCCATGATTCATTCTTCCCCCTGTAAGAGGCAGGTGCAGCATTGTGCTTAAGACCACTCAGGAGCTAGACAAGTAGAGACAGCTCCTACCTTTACTGCCTATTAGGTGTGTATTGCTCCCAACAATTTACTTTAGTTTCCTGAATTCAGCTTTCTCATTTGCAAAAATGGAGTTTATAATCATAGCAGCTGTTATGGTCTGAATGTTTGTGCCCCTCTATAATTCATACATTGAAACCTAACCCCTGAGATGATGGTATTTAGGGCCTTTGAAAGGTGATTAGGTTAAGAGGGCTCTGCCCTCACAAATGGGATTAACGCCCTTATATAAGAGACCTAAGGGAGCTTTTTGTGCTTCTTCTGCTAAATGGGGAAACACAGAAGTTTCCATCTATGAGGCATGGGCCCTCACAAGACAGCCAATCTGTTGATGTCTTGATCTTTGACTTCTCAGCCTCTAGACCAGTAAGCAATACATTTCTGTTGTTTATAAATTACCCAGGCTAAGGTATTTTGTTATAGCAGCCTGAATGGACTAAGAGAGCACCTACTAGGGTTATCATGAAGTTTAATTCAGTTGATACATTCAGACCAGTACATGGCACTGACTGTGATTATAATTCTAGTTCACCTTTATGGTCTCTTTCAGATACCATCCCTGGCTTTCCTTCCATCTAGGAGTTCACGTCTCTTCTGGAGAATAGAATCCATGCCCTATTACTTTTTTTTTTTTTCCTTATTTAAAATAAGTGTGAACTTTTTAAAAGTAATAATCTTTCACATTTGTTCAGCATTGTTATTTACAAGAGAATTTCACAGCCATTACCACATTTAACATTGACTTTGGCCGGGAATGGTAGCTCATGCCTGTAATCCCAGCACTTTGGGAGGCCGAGGTGGACGCATCACCTGAGGTCAGGAGTTCAATACCAGCCTGGCCAACATGGTGAAACCGCATCTCTACTAAAAACACAAAAATTAGACAGATGTGGTGCACACCTGTAGTTCCAGCTATGCAAGAGGCTGAGGCAGGAGAATCGCTTGAACCTGGGAGGTAGGCTTTGCCGTGAGCCAAGATTGTGGCACTGCACTATAGCCTGAGAGACAGAGCGAGACTCCGTCTCAAAAAAACAAACAAACAAAACAAAAACAACAAGAACAAACAAAAAATCATTGACTTTACGAAAAAGAAATTATCTGGAGGACTGACCTAATCACAGGAGCTCTTTAAATCTGGATCTAGAGGTCAGAGACAGGGTAAGCCTGAATCTGAAGTGTGAGAGGGACTCGGCCTGAGGGAGATTTGCCGCTGCTGCCTTACAGATGGAGGTGCCCAGGAGGCAGGGAATGCAAGTGGCCTCTGGAAGCTGAGAGTGACCCTTGGACAATAACCAGCCAGGAAAGAAGGATCTCAGCCTGACAGTCACAAGGAACTGAATGGTGTCACAACCACGGGAGCTTAGAAGTGACCACAAGCTGCAGATGACCGTGCAGCCAGCTGACACCTGGTTTCGGCCTTGTGAGACCCTGGGAAGAAAACCCAGCCATGCTCTGTCTAGACTTCCACCCTCTAAAACTGAAGATAATAAATGGACGTCGTTTTAAGCTGCTAAATTTGTGTTAATTTGTTACACAGTAATAGATAACTCAGCTTCCCAGGGCTGCCATAACAAAACACCACAAACTTGGTGGTTTTAAGCAATGGAAACTTACTCTTTCACAGTCCTAAACACCGGAAGTCCAAAATCAAGTTGTCAGCAAGGTCCAGGGAAGAACCCTCCCTTTTCTTTCCCAGTTTCTGGTGGTTCCAGGCATTCCTTGTTTTCACATGGTCTGCTCTTCCTTTTATGTCTGTGTCTCCTCCTCTTCTGTCTGTTATAAGGACACTTGCCATCAGATTTAGGGTCCACCCAGCTAATTCACAGTGATATCCTCATCTGAAGATCTTAATTACCTCTGCAAAGACCCTTTTATGGAACAAGTTCTCATTGACAGAGTCTGGGTATTAGGATGTGAACATATCTTTTTGGAGCCACCATTCAGTCCACTGCAATCACTACTACAGAAGTGGGTCTCTTTACCTCTCTTTTACAGAGAAGAAACTGCAGAGTGAATAGGTACTCACGGACTTTTCAAACTCAGGTCCAGTGGATTTCCCGCACCATCACAGGTGCCTGTTTTTCCTGTAGCATTTAGCACAACAGTGGAGAGAGATGAGAGAGGAATAAATACTTGTCAAGTAATTGAAATTCCAAATTAGCCATGAGTGAAATCAAACTGTGTTCAGAAAAGGATTCAGTATCAAGGGGGAAATAATCTCTTCCTCGAGATCTTTGAATCTGTCTAAAAAGGCCTAAGTTGATGAATATTTTTGTTCTTGGTTAAAATGATTAAAGGTCGTTATGAAACAAGTGGCTCGAAAGCTTTCCAAAGAGATGACTTCCCAAAAGGATTAGAGATAAGAAATGGAAGTGGGAATCTTCCCTTGCCTGTGTTGTTTGGAAGCAAACTGGCCCGGGATGGAATTTGGCTCTGTCACTTGCCAGCCATGTGGCCCTGGTTAAGTTACTTAGCCTTTCTGGGTCCCACTCCACTGATCTATGAATACAACAATATACCCATCTCACTAAGTTTTTAAAGACAAACTGAGATGATAGTAATAACGATGCTCTTGGAGGTGGTTAATACTATTCCAAACGCCTTTCAGACATCAACTCATTTATGCCTCATGACCACCTGTGAGGTGTCACTGTTATATTATTCCCATTTTATAGATGAACAAACTGAGACAGGTAGTTGTAAGAGCAAAGGTCGACAGCTACAAGTGA